AAATGCGCAAGGGTACATATGACTTGGCACAATGGTAGACATGAAGGCGCAGAAGCAGCAGGGATCCAAGAATATTTTTTAGATCAAACAGGAAAAAGTCAAAGATGAAAAATTGAAAAAGCCCATTTGCACAGCAGGTCTAGTGCAAATGATTGATTTTCGCGATCTTCAGAGGCATGAATCATTTCCTCCTTGTGCGATGCCCAACACTGCATCTTTAGTGGGTTGTCCCATGAACAGATGCCCATGGCGCCTGTCTGTTATGCCGCCTGTCTAATTGCTGTACAATGTGAGAGCGTCACAGCTCATTTAGCCCATGTGTGCCTAACGGTCTGCTGTGAAATTATTACTGTTTTGAAACTCTGTTTAAGAGACAGACAGGATGTCAGACAGAATTATGCACGAAGCATCACTCGAAAGCGTTAAGGCTTTGCCCTCAGGCTGTTTCAGCATGGTAGATTAGAAAAGTAATTTTACAGCTTGCAGTGCATGGCCACAGCTCAGAAGTCATTGAGTGGGATTCCTGAGCGTTTACAATACCCTACCACACCTCTTTTTTATTTCAGTGATTTGGCATGTGTTTTCAATGTGGTTTTTTTTCCTACTCATTTGTACGTGTGAGAAAACAAAACGAAGGCACTTGGCACATATTTCACTTTTTAGCCCTTGGCAGCTTATCTCAAGGACCACATCAAGGTCTGTTTTAAAAGATCCTGGTGAATCAGTGCCCTAAACTACCATTCCACCCACCAAATCTCTGTTGTGAAAGGAAGACGTGATTATTTTCAGTTCTTTCTTTATCATACTGCATTTCCACTGCCCAAATGCTCATGAAATAGACTTCTTTGTCTACAACATGGGTTTAGAAGATGTTGTGCATCTTACTTAGATAGGAGGTTCAGCTCAGTCAATCATGTTACCAACAGTGCTACACTGCCAGGGGATTCTAGAAACAAATGGGGATTCTAGAAACAAAAGATTATTTTTAGAATCCATCATTACAAACTTAAAGAATTTCATGACATTTCATTGCTTTCTTTAGAGCAGCCTCAGAAATTCTCACAGGTGTGCTACCAGCATAAGCTCCATGGACCACTCAGATCTCAGGATTTCCAGCAGTGATGGAGCCAATCTGCTACTGCTCAATGCTGAAAAGAGTGGTGTCACAGGTATTCCGTAACATCACCAGAAAACAAAGTAGAACACGACATCACTGCCAGTGGAGTGCTCATGCTGTTTGCTTTGGGCAACACATATCCCACATAGATCAAGGAGTGAGGGTTGCTACTGTGCATCACACAGGATCAGGGCCATACATCTGGGATTGTACCTGAGTTCCTCAGTTATTTAACGCAACTAAATTTCTTGCAAAAGCTGACTAAATCAAACGTTTCACACAGCTGCTGTACCTACTTGAATGACGTACAGTCTTGACACCCGTAGACGGCTCCACAGCAGAAAAGCTGTGTTTCTTTTCTTCTCTTTTCAGCATGGAATTAACCTTCACTTGTTCCTTTAAATCAAACTTTGCATAGCAACTGATGATATAAAAGCTAAAATATATTAATTAATAGGAAGTCCCAGGTGCACATGGGTGTGCCTCTGAGTCGCAGTGTGTCACCCTGAGAAATTCAGTACAACGTCTTATTCTGAATGAGATGCAGAGCAAAATCTCTATTGTACAGTAACTCTGTGGCAGCAGTTGTTGATCTATAGCTCACCCGATAATCTCTGTAATTTCATGCTAAAGCATCTGCTAAATGACTAATTATTGTTATGGAGACCAATAAAAATCTGCAGAGCCACCAGCCCTCACAGCTCATGGCTGACCACCATTTCAAAAGATATGCGGTCATTTCAGTGACAGATTTTTTACTAGCCTTACTGTATGGTTATACCATTATAAATACTGCAGGCCAGAACATGGGAGGGAAAGCAGAATTGTGGGATTTTATTGCAAATTCTTTTGCTGTCTGCTGAACATGGCAAAGAAAATGACTGTATTAAAAATGAACAGAGCAATTGTACAGGTTTAGCAGATGTTTGATTGCTGAGCATTGATATCGTTCCAGAAAGAAGAAAAAATGAATCGTGCATTTGGCCAGAAATGTATATTTAATAAAATGAAGAACTATTAAAGAGCCCAGAGAAGAAATATAGTTCCCTTACAATATATTATTGCTTTTTTACACATGTGAGTGCTCTTGGACAGGAATAAAGATACAGACAGCATTGTCAGGCTCACTCATACAGTGAAGATTAGTTTGGGGTTCACAAAATGAAGAAGTATCTGTGGGTTTCATGATAAAACTAAGGAATATTTATGTTTAAAATTTATAGGTTTGGCAGAAATATGTATCTTCTCCAATTTTTACATAAATGATTCATACTAGAGATTTGTAAATTTGACATTCTAAACTGCTTGTATGAATCTTTAATAGACTTAAATATGATTTTCCAAATCAGAACAGAATTTCATAAATTTGAAGCTCTGCAAATAAATATTTATGAGCCTTTTTTTCCCCAGCTTTCCCTGTTCCCAGTAATTGCCGGTGATTTATTTGGTTTCGCTTTGTATACGGGAGAAATCAATCTTAGGATTTTCCCTGTGAATACGCATAGTCCTGGTCCAGATTGGAAAAGAAAGCCCTTTTCTTCAGCCATGTAAAACTTGTACACTTTTGCCCTGAAAACCAAGGATCCATCAGCCCTAGTAGGTCTTAATAAATCACTCCTAACCCCAGCTTGCCCTGTGAATAATAATTTAATATTCACTATCTGCACATTTTGGATGCTCCTTGCATTATAAGTGGTACCATTTTTTTTTATTTCTTGTTTCTATTTCATAACAGCAAGAGTGTGCGATAAGGATGTGGTATCTCCCCTCAGACTTAAGACCACAACTGCAGGGAAAGATACTAGTTAAAACTCATGCTTATGGTCTGTATTACTTTGTATGTGCATGCATGGCTGTATATTGTACATGTACATTACTCATGTTGTGTATGCATGGCAGCATGTATTTGGGTCTGTCTTGAATAATTTAATCTTCGATGTTTAAAGGCTTCTTTCTAGTCTGGCCCTGCCCCTGCTTCATATACCCCGGCTGGCTAACGACTGCTTAAAGACCTAGAGCTGACAGATGGCCTGGTCATGACAGGCTCTATGGCGGCAGGACCTCACTGTTCCAGATATATATCATAAAAATACAATTACACAATCATTAGTAATTCAGTAGCCTTTCCAACTGCAAGAGCTCAGCAATCGGGCACAGCAAAGACATTAAAATGACACATTGTAGCCAGCAGGAAAGATGGGAGGCACTCTCTGATTGAGAACAGCAAAAGAGATCTCCTCTCTCTCTTTATATATCTGTCTCCTCTCACGCACACAAACACAAGAGAGAAGCTCACTCTCTGCTGTAACGGGGGGCTGTTTAAGTGGCAGTGACAAATGACCGCAAAATGCGCATTTATCTTATTACTTCCCACCCTGTCCTCTTCTTCACCATCAACCAATCTCAAGAAGTCTAAGCTGCAGTGTTAGCTGCTATTACAGTGCCCATCTGCAAGAGACACTTCTGCTGCACTGCAGAGCAAAAAAATAAGAAACACAGCATGTGGCATTCCGGATTGCTTAATACATGTTAACCTGAACATTTCCATGCACAGGAAATGATGCACACTCAGGTTCAGGTTTCCTGTGGAACTCCAGATTCTGACTTTTCCAAAATAATCGTGTATTTCTGACACAGCCCCCATCATTCAGTCCATCATTTACCTGGGGGTGAACTGCTTACTCCAAACTCCACAGTGCCCTTACTCCTTCCCATCAACATGGCAAATATGTTCCTTTTTACAGTGCTTCTGCTAATAACATACCCTACTTTAAAACTGCTATAAAAAAGACAAACACCTATATTTTAGAAATGATAACATGTCAACACTGGCTGATATACATACTAATAATTTCCTAGCTATTGTTCTTCTACATTAATCATGCACATTTCTGAATTTCATAAAAGGGCACTTAACAGCACTCAGGTCTACAGCTTTTGGGCAGCACAAGCATCCACAACCCCACAGAGTGGAACTGTTCAGTTCTCATGCTTCATCAAATTTATTGGCCACTTAAATGCCCATACACAGCCCTGTGAATTAGAATAAATTCATTATTATTGATATTAATGCAGGTCTGCTTTGGATGCAATTTGAAAACTGAAATGTTTTAAATCAGTTACTATGGCATCTTAAAATAATACTGTAGCCTGCTGCTTCTCCCAGAGAGGCTCAGAAATGCAGCTAAAAAAACCCTTTATGGCACCTGTACCTACGTGTACCTGTACACTGTGTGAAAGTCTTAGTCATTCTGCTCCAACTCTTTTCACTCCATACACGTGCCCTTCTTCCTTACACAATTATATGGAAATCTTATTAGATCTGTATTCTTCAGTGCACAGCCAATTAGGTTAATGAGAAGGAACTACTGAGACTGACTGAAATAGGCCTGATTGGTTAATGTGATGGGTCAGCTATTACAACACCTCATATTGGCTGCTCATGCACAGTATAGATCACCTTCTGTTGCTGTGATCGTGGTTATGAACATACTGATCTCTTTGAATTAAAGATATCTATTTGACAAACTTTGTTTCCTCTTACTCACTCTAAGTTGTATAGGTAACAAAAGTTGTTCTAAAAGTAGAAAACACTAGTGGAGTGTTTGAGTAAATTGCTGATGCTCACTGCACGCATCTGTTCTAACTCCTAATACAGTATGTCTAAGGCTTTTGCACAGTCTGGTAGTGTACATCTATAAATACACATTATTGCATATATATCATTTCACTGTCTTTGTTTGTTATGTGGCTATGATTTTCATTTAATCTGTCATTCAATCTAGCGGAATGATGTGCAACAGAACTCGGAGGTCTGTCAATAAACACTGGAACAGCAGAAACAAACCAGGACATGAAGGTAGAAAAGCAGAAAAAGGCTCACCTCCTCTTGGCATATGTGAACACTTTAAGATGGTTCCTTGGGTAAAGGCTAAGGGCAAAACAGAAAACATTAGACATACGTCCCAGTGTTATCGTACGGTTTACTGAATGCTAATAGTCTTGAATTATGAGGTTAGCTGAACAAATTAATAATTACATTTCTGATAAAAAAAGCATATAAACCTGGAACAATTTAATACAGTTAATAGAGAAGATATTGGGTGAACTTGGCATACAATTAATTTATCAAATCAAAGTTAACACTGGTTATCTAAAAAAGATATCGAAATGTCTTTTTCTCCCCACTGACTGGCAGTGGATGTGGCTGAAGAAATATGTACCTTAATTACATTATAGCTCACCAATCCATGAGGTGCCTTTTTGTGTCTGTCCTTCGTATTTTTTTCCCACAAAATAAGATAGATATACAAGAAATAGTAAAGAGATTGTGAAATCATTGTTGAGTTCATTTAAAGCAATACCATCAAAAGCAGCGTAATTATATCTGGCCCAACAGCCCACATAAATCTTGTCAGGGCTGATTAAGTTTCATGACGCCCTTCGTCGAAGATGGAAATATTTTCGTTTTTGCGCTCAGAAACACTGCCGCTTTTTTCCCCCAGAGTGCTGGTGCACCGTGTGAGGCTTGAGGAGGGGGTGGGGGTGGGCATCCTGGGATTACCGCATCACCTGGGGCACCCCACTGCACGAGCAGGAGAGCTCACTGCTGCTCACTCCCTCCTGCCTGAGATTTAGCACCTCTGCAGAAGGACTTATAAATGTTTAACAGCACACTGGGGAAGCCCTGCGCTCTCAGTTAATAAGCTTTCTGCTTATTCAACAAGGTTTTATTGTTGTGTGTATTGGAAATGAATTAAAAAAGAAAAACCTGCTGGAAACAATTACCATTAACAGTCCTCTTATGCCAGACTAACCCAGTGCTGTCAGTAATTGGGTTAAACTGTAATGTTAGAAGTGCTATACTAGTATACTGCTAATCATTTACAATTCTGTCTCTCTCCTGGCTGTCTCTCCACCTTTTTGCTCTCATATGATGCTCTAGTGCCAGTCCTTGCTCCCTATAGCTGCACACATCTCTTTCAATACACCTACTGTATTCTGGCCTACCGCTGTCTTGACCACTCTGTTCACCTACAGCCCCTCAACACTCCTATACCCAGAGTGTCTGTCCCTCCTCTCCTTTCCCACACCTCCAGGCCTGTTCATTCTCGTGCCTTTGCCCACAGTGGTGAAATGAACTACCCAACTGCAATTGGAACTGCTCACGGCTTGGAGAAAACAAGGACCAAAACCACAAGGCAAAGTGATCACATGTCAGGGGACTTCAGATCAGGGCCAGTAGTTGATTTTGTTTGCGCCGATACCTGTTCTGTCTGTACTGTATGTTTATTCACATCTAAACTTCTGATTAAGGAATTGAAATAGAATCTAAAATGTGGCCAGGTAGCTGACATTTTAGTATCAGTACTCAACATTACTTAAAATGTATTTATTTTAACACATTTTTTAAAATATTTCAGTAATAGCACAAAAAAGAAGACTTGGTGCCAGGGCAGTTACATACAGTAACTATCAAAGTACACATAGTACACTATGGTCTCAGAGCTCACTCTGTTTCCCTAAACACATTTCAATGCCCATTTTCAATGTGCAACAACTTCAATTAATTATGATTTGATAGATTTGATGAGAGCAAAGCTGGCCACGTTGGCTTACTAGATACATAAGATGTACAAACTAAAAACTACTAACACAGGTAAGAGATGTAATTGTCTTCTAAACACAAATGGAAACAAACACAAAGTGCTTCATTTAAAGTGAAATGAAGGCCTTCCTGAGGATTTTCCACAGACATATTTGTTCACGTATCTATAATTTTATGTATACATATAGATATGTACTGCTTACACCTTTTCTAAACTGTATGCATGAAGTGATTGCATAATATAACTGTTTATATACAGATACAAATGTAAACTTTTAACTATAAATGTTTTTATAAAGTATAGATATGTTGAATATTTATTAGATGTGTTTTGCCTTGTTTTGATTAATTGAATAATAATAAATTAACTGAATAATAATTTATTAATTAAGAATAATTAATATGCCCCCTTTATCAAGAGAACAATGACTCTGTTATCTGTATGTTGGAGGCTGGACTAAGTCGGAGAACTGTCACAAATCACCTGAGATGTTCACAGCCACAACTGGCAAGACGTTACAGACACAGCTTATTAATGACAATTCACAATCTGGAAGGCCACTAGTCGCCTGGCCACGATTGATGGGGAGGTCCAAGTGTGATGATCTATGCAAGAGTATTTAGTCACTAGACAAATTCACTTAGTGATTGATGGCAACCTGGCTGGACGGTGCTAAACTGATCCAAGTCGTTTACCTCACTTCCCTTCCTGTGAAATGGCCTGGCATGACTACATTCCACCAGAACAACACATGCCCTCCTGCTGCTCACATAACAACAGCTTTCTTGACAGATGAGGATATCACAATTATGCTATTGATGTCCAACTTCCAAGACCATAGCCACAATGAATGTCTGTGAGATGAGTTGGGTTAACATGGGGTCCAGAGCTCACAGACCAGTGAGCAGACACATACTTGTCCAGGCTATGCGAGAGGAATAGCATAGAATCCCACAAAACTGCATCTGCAATCTGGTGCAACGCATGTGATATACAAGTACAGCTTGCACTTTTTTCTAACTGTGCCCACACACACGACTAGCCTGGGACATTCACTGTACACTCCCTATTGATGACAAATGTTAATCAGCAAAATTAATTTACTGATATCATATCTGTTTAATAATATCTCAGTGCACCTGATATTAAAAAATGAAACCATTAAAGCTGTTATATTGCACTGCAGTTCTGATCATGAAATGGCTTTTTATCACGCCTTGATGTGCTCCCATGCTCAAGTTAAAATGAGGAGAGCTATATCTTATTAAGAGACCACAAAATTAAAGTCTGTGGCTTTTCTGCAGGGCAAATGCTGAGCTCCTCCTCCAAATCAGAAGTACAATGATTATCAGAATACACCCTTGATGAGACACCAGTCCGTCACATGGCAGAAATATGAATGATACAATTAAAGAAAACATATGCCTGATTCAAGTTAACAGAAAACATTCAGAGGCCCAGAGAGATTTTAAATGTGTCCAAGCAACTGAACAATTGTACAATTAACGATCTAAGAAGACAGATGGATCAGAGACCCGATGCTACCATAGTTCTCTAGTAATTTCAACACCTCTACCTTGACTATAGCTATCCTCAGTTCAACAAGACCACTGCAGTACCCGTGGTCTCAGTGTAGCATCAGTAACAACGCCCCTCTCTGGTCTTTCTTTGTATAAAACAGCTTTGGACTCACAGCTAGATTTCCAGGCTATCCCTTTTTGAACGACCTGTCGCCTGTCTGCGCCTGATAAACTCTTTTCAAGGGAGGGCTTCATACTCCATTAGCTAAGAAACTGTTTTGGCCCGGATGACATCAGCTGATAAATGGGATGCGGCTTCTGTGCCAGGTCACAACAAAGGCATATTGCGTTTGCATGTACTCCGCAGAGGGAGCGGGATCCATTAGCGTACAGCCTCGCACAGACTCTGCCCGCCGTGAGGACAGACAGAGAGGGATTTTTTTTTAAACTCGGTTTAGGGAATATTCAGGAAACCCTTGGATAAATCGTTTTTGTTGGAGGGGAGTGGGGCAGCATTAAAAAAACAACTTGGAAAATAAATAACTCCGATGTTTGAGTGAAGAAGCCAATGGGACTGTGACATTTCAATTCACAAATGCTGTACCTAAGCTCCATAGAGGAGAGAATATTCACATTCTGATCCCACACTGAACCTATCTGAGATAATGTTTTACAAAACACTCACAATATGCTGATCAGCTCTCCATTTGCTCTTTTGTGTGTCATCTAAATGCTAAGAACTTGCACTGCATTGTTAAAATGGAAAAAAAGGCCACATGTTGTATAATGTATTAAAAACCACATTAACAAACAATAAAAGTCTTAACAGGCACTGGCATCTGATTTGATTTTTGAGATGCAATATTCTTTGAACACTTCAGCACCGTGTGAGCAGAATTACAAGATGCGTTTTTCTATTGTCTCTGAAAAAAGGGCGACGACTTTAACTTCTTTCTTTTTCGAAAGGCATGTGACTACACAGGCACCGCTATAATAATAGAATAACCATTTGTGCCAGAGGCTTAAGCCCAATGAGGTTTAATAAAAAACAAAATGCTCTTAAAGCTGCCACTGGAACTGCTTCCACTATGAATAAAAACTCAAGAAAGGCTTATACAAACGAGAAAGGCAATTGGTAAACTTTATTACCAATATTAAAGCCCTCATATACTGTAGTATGTTCAGTTTTCAACCAAAGTGCTGTAGCAGTTCAAGCAATGGTTAAAAGTTGCTTATTATATAAAAGCTTTGGTTGTTTTTTTTTGTTTCCACAGAAGTATCAACATAACTCAAAACGAGAAGCTGACACGGAGTCTAAACCCTTATGATTGAGAGTGCAAATTCCCCAAATTTGAACAGAGCAGGTTGTACTCTATGTGTCATTCTCTGGCTGAACGCATAAGCACTCTGACTCATGAGGGCCTTTGTTTTAATGCAAACATGCATGGATCAGTGCCCAAATTATTGCACAGCTCCCTGGTGTTCAGTGTGTGGGATGTCATTATCTCTAATGAACTGTGTTCTTCCTGGATTACTGCTTCCAGAGGTGGAAATCGCTGCAGTCACCTGTCTGCAGCAGTAACATCAGCCAAAGACCACCTGTACATTTCAGATTCATTTCGAAGAGTTTAAAATGTGATGGGTTTCAAAATGCATTTTTTAGAAACATATATACTAAATACATGGAAATATGTAAATTAAGAAAGGGACAAATAATAAAAATAAACCATCAAAGAAACTATTGTAAGTGTATTAAAATGGATTGTAGTGCAATTTTCATTACAGAGTGCGCTCTTGTAGGA